TTATTGATAAATACAATTGATCTAATTTTGCCTACCTGTATGGAGAACTGACTATAATTCATTGTATTCAGTTGTCCATAGACCGTTGGTAACTTATTCCCTTTACGGGTAATTTTAATCTATGTATGTGCAATTACTGGACATCATCATGACCAGTTATTAAAATTATATTCCCTTTATTTGAGCTAAGAATCACTATCAACTGAAATATTAACAGTGACTGCTTATTAATGAATATCAACATGGGTGTAACAGTGGCATCTCATTCAAATAAAGGTGCAGTCCCTGTGAAAGAATGTAAAGAAAACAAAACTTTGTTGTCTGGTGTACTCATAAAAACAAAAATTTTCCACAAGCTCTTGATTTTTAGCGTACAATATGCATCAAGCAGTTCATTAGCTATCTAGTATGCTTTTTTTTCTTTCCAGGGAACACAAAGAGAGACGTTTAGCTCACATAACATCAGACATGCTTTTCATTATTTCTTAAATACAACAGACAAGAGCGAGTGATTGGTTCAGTAGATCTTGGCTGGACATTATAAGCCAAATTCTGGCCTAGACCTTTCAATCAATGGTATGGCCACTGGATGGCGGGAGATCCATGATGAAATGCACTCCTAGGTATGACCAGGAATGGGCACTGTGTGACGAGGAACAGGCAGTGGATGAAATTTGCTGGCTGGGAGGTGCCATTAGGATTTGGTTATGGAATCATTTGGACAGGCCTGGATAAAACATTGTACCGCCTGGGGCATACAGGGCCACCAGTAGTGACACAGTGGAGTGAGAGGGTCTGGCTGATGCTGGAATGACCGGAGCCCGGAGAGGAGTGGAGAGAGTCTAGGGGCTGTTGGTGAAGGGCTGCTGGGACATATGTGTTCCCCTCGGGACATTCCAGCGGATCAGGATTGTTGTTGAGGGCTTCTGCAATTTCTTCATCCCGGGATCCAATGAATGGGTCTGACAATGGTCAATGGCAGAAAGGTTCTGGAACTTTCTGGAGAGTTGGACATTTCAGGTAAGTTGAGTCAAAGGAGAGCATCCACCTTGGTATTTTTTGGTAACTGTGGATGATTGAGGCGGGTAAAGAATTTTAGGTTGCAATGATCAGTGATAACTTGGAATGGTTGCTGTAAACCCTTGAATCACTCCTCCTGCACCAGTTTGATTGTACAAAGCTTCTTTGTTTCTAATGTAGTAGTTCTGCTACGCTGGGCATAACCTTTTAGAGAATACACATGGATGGAGTTAAGTAGGGCTGCAACAAACGATTATTTTGATAATCGATTAATCTAGCGATTATTAGAACGATTAATCGACTAGTCATCGATTATTTCGCAGACTGATCAGTAAGTTTGGAACGATTATTCAGCTTTTCCAATTAGTTAAAACATTGAGTTATACATATTCTAACTATAATATAAAAAAGAAAATCACTTCAGCTTTTGAAATAGTTGTTTTAATGAACTTTGCGCCAACTAAACAGGTCATTCTCTTTAAGTTTTCAGATTTCGGTTCAACTCAAATCACACACAAATGCTCTCTAAGCATTGTTTAATAGGCTTTTCTTAGAACTGAAACAGAAAAAGGGACATTTACTTCAGGACACAAAGAATGGTAAAATATTAATCTGCAAACAATTATTGTATAAAATTACAATCTTTTTTTACATGACAATTGAGCTGACAGAGACGTTCTCATTCACCTTTTAATTTATAGTATGATAAAGTAACTGCCATGATATTCTTCCTATATCATAGGAAGGATATAACATCATGATTATTGAACAAAATACAGGCAAGTGATAAGACTATAATAATACCTAATATACTAATAGTGTTACAATAATAAAAACAGCCCTGACTCCTAAGCTCGATCAAGCTTTATTCTATGCAAAATAAGTCATGACATTACTGTAATTATATTACTATTGATAATATTATTACTATTTTTAGTAGTATTGCATTCTCTAATAAAGAGAGATTTACCGCAGCTCCAGCTGGAGAACACTCACTTCTCACCGGCTCCTCTATTGCCGGGATGTTTCCTCTTGCACTCCAACATGCATGTTGTGCTCCCGTGAAAAGCAAGTTCCGCCTTGCATGTATTGCACACGACAGCATTCTTGATTTGAAGTTTTGTGAAACTTTCCCAAACCTAAACCTTGCTAGTTCGGATTCGTTTGCACTGTCATAATTCGCGCTGTGTTTTCTTCTACCGCAATAGCATTTGTAAGGGCTGCACTACACTCTAGCGCTACAGCGCCGTAGCGGTCAAATCGCGGGATTGCAGGCCCTTACATTAGGTCACGTGAGATCAAACGACTACTCGACAACAAATATATTTGTCGACAAATATTTATTGTCGACGTTGTCGACAACGTCGACTAATCGTTGCAGCCCTAGAGTTAAGCAGGGTCCCCCTGCCAATAAGAGAGTATGGCTCAGATACTGGTGGTAGAAGCATCAACTACAACCACAAGGGTCACTCTAGATCAGGATGTAGGATGACTCGAGCAGTGCTAAAAGTGTTTGAAAAAAGGGTATGAAAGGCTTGGGGCTCAGTAGTCCATTAGAACAGTGGTTCACAACCTCTGTCCCCGAGTACCCCCAGCACTGCACTGTTTAGATGTCTCCAAAATCAAACACACCTCACAACTCATCAGCTCAATAGTAAAGACTCCAAGACCTCAGATGGGTCTGTCAAATAAGTGAGACATTAAAAATGTGCAGTGTTGTTGGTTCTCTAGGTCTAGGGTTGGGAAACACTGTGCTAGAAGTTAGAAACTGATAAATCTAAGAAAGAGTTGCAGCTCTTTCACAGAGATGGGTTGTGGCTATGTTTGGACTGCTTGGATCAAACATATCCAAGTTAAGTTGGAATAGTTTCCAAGTTTTCGAACCATCTGGACAGAGGGCCGGTGGAACATGCATATGTCTGTGTGGCAAGCACGTCACCGGCCTTGCGCCGTTCTCTCACGGCCCTCTGCCTCGTCCTATTCGACACAGTCTGCCTTGAGTAACAGCTAGTGCTCACAGAATATTCCAGTACCAGCTTATTTTTCAGCTAGTTTAACCTGTTACTTCTGTAAGACTGGGAAAACTGGAAGAACTGGTTGAGGAACGACCACTCTGGAAATTACCATTTGAACTCACCATTTGAGACAAAAGTCTCACATAACCTACATTTCTTTCCCTCATCCCCCACTCGTTCTCCCCCATGCAAAGATCACCAAAAACTCACCCAAGAATCTAAATGGATTAATGTGAATGATTATCATCGAGTTTTATACATGTTTGGTATCATTTGAAATGTCTCAGTGCGACTGGTACAAATGTCTAATTTCCAAATAAGTAAAACAAAAGGTAAATATAGCTGCGAGCAGCGATTACGGGCCCAAGCCGGTGGCACCGCAACCCCGGTGCCTTTAGGGTTATTGTGCACGACGTGCAAAAACGTAGCCCTGCTTTTACTGTCGAAAAGAAGTGTGCTGTAGAGCTTGCATCAGTGTGGGCTCTGCAAAAGTGCGCATCGAGGGCACATATCAACCACAATGTGTGCATGAGCAACCTTCTGAAACCTAAAATGAAAAATGAGACACCCTACAGACGGTCTCATGGATTTAACGGACACAGGTAGTTCTGCTTCAGCACTGATGATGTTGTAGGAATAGTGCACTCTGGTTGGTCTGGATTATTCGAGATTTTTTATTTTATACAGAAATAAGTTATTCATAATTCAGATGAGAATAAAGTTAGTGTTGATTAAAATGAAGGAAAACATTGATTGTATTGATCTCAAATATTGCACATTAATTTTAAATTAATTTAGGTTAATTTACCAAACACAATCTTAATTTAATTTAAAGCAAACAATACACTTAAAAAGATATGGGTTATATGAATATTTTGGAGAAAAAAAAAAATCAGTATATACACACACACACACACACACACACACACACACACACAGTTTAAAAGCAAAAGATCTCTCTCTCTATCTCTCACTCTCTCTCACACACACACACACACACACACGTACTCCAGCATTGCAATCTTGACATCGCAGCCTGTTCATTATGCTGCGTTCAAACCAAACGTGAATAGAGCGAATATATCACTATTTAGACTGAATAGATGATGAAGGAATATTTTGTGTAAAAGCGCCTATTTAAGCCAATCTGTCATTATATACTCTTTTGTTGAAGTGTTTTCCATGAAGAATAATAGGCTGTTGAACTCACAATTCAAGCAATCGGCCTAAAAACGCTATTTTTTAAATGAAACTAACGGCTGCACGGGCATTCATAACACACACACAGTTCGATCGCGCCCGCGCCCCCTCTCTCTCCCTCTCTCTCTCTCACTCACACACACACACAGTTCGATCGCGCCCGCCCCCACAACTCTTCTCCTCTTTATTTTAACCTCTGTCGAGTACCGTAGGTACCATTTTCTCATGACATGCAGATTCTCCAACTGTCCGCTCTACTTCCATTATGGATAGACATGAGACAAAACATATCGAAACTTGTCATTGCATTGGAAGTTTTTGAAAGATTTTAGTTGGTCTTTTGATGCACTGAAAGTGTTTTATATATATCACCCAAGTACATAAACAGGCTATATTGTATAGTAATGATAGATCTACTCCTACAAGCTGAGACATTTAGAATATGTTGACGTGTTTAATACGCCATTTTCATTTTAAACAGTAAGATGATTACTTTGTGGTCCCTTTAAAGAAATGCAACTATTTGCATAATCAAAAGACACAAATGTGTATTTCAAGAACTATGAATGGACACTTGCTTTGGTGTTTCCACCCCTCATTGTCCTCATGCCACGCTATAAATACTTTTATAGAACCATCTCTAATTTATTTGCAAATTGCAACATATATGATAAAAACGACAGTACGGCTTTATTGCTTCATTAAGTTGTTTTATTTAATGAAATACTAAGTTGTTATGTGTGTGTCATAGACATTTGTGTCCTGAAACTAAGTGCTAATGAATAGGTGTGCCCTTGTTTGACAAATAGATAAAATAGGGCAGTTTGGACCTGGATCATGACCTCTAAAGGGGGAGGTTCTTTTGTTTTACCAGGGCAAAGTTTCTCCAGTGTAGTTCATGAATGCAGCGTGCTGTTTCTCAGTAAGGCTGCCAATGACACGCAGCATTCCCTCCACGCTTTCTTTTGGTTCAAGTGGTGCCTGGAGAAAATAAAAACATGAATGTAGCAAAATAAAAATAACATGCAAAATAAAAATAATATACCGTAAGCAGCAATTACAGGCTAAACATACCAATGTGAAAATGTGTAATGTGAAAGGTGTAGTCCAAAAAACGTATGTTTGACAGAATTCAAAATGGTGGAAATCAAAAGCGCAGGTGCATTAAAATAGGCATGACTCAGAGGGATCAGAGGAAAACATGAAAATCATCTGATTCAAAAGATAATAGCTACAAATGTGAACTGTTCGTAGCACTAAATAATTTCAGACTGGGGATAAAAGCCTAAATCAATCTGTGTACCCAATTTCACAACATTTACCATGCAGATCTAAAGTCTGCAATACACTCTTTGAAAAAGGGTTTAGTGGGATTATATATGGAACAGCTCTACGGACTCAATAGTAATGAATCCTTTATGCCTAAAGGTTCTTTATAAGAAGAAAAGTATCTTGTATTTGCAAGGTCAATTTGAAAATCATTTTGACACATTTCCTGCATTTATGCTCAAAATATAACAAACTTGACACTCTTGTTAATAAATCTACACTCACCTCTTCTCCACCCATTTCAGTCTTCACCCATCCTGGATGAAGTGCCATGCAGAGGATCTCATTCACCTTTAACTCCACAGCAGCCAACACAGTCAGCATGTTAAATCCTGCCTGATAGGTAAACACAGCATTTGAGAAATGCTTCAACTCATGCCATCAATACTTCACGGGCAATGAATGTAATCCAGTTTATAGTGCCTAAGCAGGATTTTGTTGTACCTTGCTCACGCAATATGGCAACACTGGGAATTGGTCGTACAGGGACGGCATTCTGGTCATGGATCCTCCAAGAGTGGAGATATTGATGACAGCTGCTTTATTACAGGACATGCCTGGTGTCCCACTGGCTTTGGCCGCTGTTTTTAGAATAGGTAGGTACTCCTAAATAAAGGAGAGCGAAAGAATTACATGTCTCTGTATGTAACCAGCTCATACTCAATTTTTACAGGTCAATGTTGTGATCTATCACTAGTCAATACACACCCTGGGCGACTAGTGTCAGAAAAAAAAATGTGTAGCTCATTTAAACAACGGTACAGCTTTGTCTGATCAGGCTAATAAATCAGTTAAGCTGGTTTAAGCTTTTATTTTGGTACAATGCCATGAACCTTACAAAATCTGGCACATCCAGTGACTAGTTCAGCACTTTTTTTAAGTAACCTCTTCCGGTGGCACAACAGTGCCAGCCTAAAAGGTAAGCCAGCATGCACTTGCACCAACACATAATTTGCAATGGACAAATTGTTGTTTCACATATACTAATGTTCTATACATTACCCTAATGATTAGTAAGGGTCCTATCACGTTAGTGTTGAAGGTGTTTTTCATGTCCTCAACACGGCTGGTCAGAATGGTGCCATTTGCCACGATCGCAGCATTATTCACAAGCAGGTTCAAGCCGTTCTTTCCTACGAGAGAACCCACTTTCTTGGCAGACTCTTTGATACTGCATGGATCATCAGCATCTAATAATAACAGAACAATTAACAGTGCTATTCTACAATACAAATATGACTAAAAAATAAATGATATTAGCATAATTTCCAGTGAAAATATCAAATGCACCAAGAAAGACATGCACATTTACCAAGACGTATGATAGTGATCACACTTGGATGCTTTTTCACCAGTTCTCTCAGTGCCTTAAGAAAGATTATGCAAAATAAAAACTAGGTAAAATAGGGTTTCTCCTGCTGTTATCTATCTAACTTAGCTGTTTATAACTCACCTCAGACTTTGGCCCATCTGGGTCACGGGAGGTAGCAAAAATATGGCGTTTTGGACAAGAATCCTCAGAGAGTTGCTTAACCATTTCTAAGCCCAAGCCCCGGTTGGCTCCTGTGATCAAGATATTGCATGCTTTCACTGCTGCCATGTTCTTATGGTTATCAAGCTGCTTCTGTCTGCCTTGTGTTGTACGTACAACCAAGAGAACTTAGCCCCCTTTTAACATTATGTAATATTGTGCTGCGTCATAGTGCGATTGAGGATCTAAAGATCGCCTCCCCCATATTTTAGAGCCACCCCGTCCCTTTAATGACCGCCCCTCGTCAGGCTCTTGTGTGAGAGTGAAGGGTAACCAACTCTGACAGCAGCATCGATCCCAGAAGAGCAGCAACAGCTCAGGATAGGATCCCTGGCCACTATTCCCAGTAGCACCTCATTGCAGTACACGAGATCCAGGGGGCGGAGTTGGATCCAGATCTAAGGGGTGGAGATGGGTAGGATTAGGGGTGGGGTTAGGGATCAGGGGGCGGAGATGGGTAGGATTAGGGGTGGGGTTAGGGATCAGGGGGCGGAGATGGGTAGGATTAGGGGTGCGGTTAGGGATCAGGGGGCGGAGATGGGTAGGATTAGGGGTGGGGTTAGGGATCAGGGGGCGGAGATGGGTAGGTTTAGGTATATGTAAGGTGGGAGGAGTTGGATCTGGATCCAACTCCTCCCTCTGGATTTCGTGTTCTGCAGTGAGGCTTTTAGGTTCACTATTCCTCCTATTCCACTATTCCTCCTATTCGGTCGATCGTGAACAATTCTAATGTTTTAAATGACTTGAGAGTTGTCACAATGAATGTTCTTTTTTTTTTAATCCAAGCATGCACATTCACTTATAGTCCGGGTGAACTAATCAATTCTGTTTAGCTACATAATGTGAAAAAAGAACGAACGACCTGGACGAGAGGTATGGAAGTAAAATAATGCCAAATGTTTTTGAAGCAAAAAAGCCTGTTGAATTGCACTATACTTGAAAAAAATATGCATTGCATAACCATGCTTGCATTTGTATGCATTGTATTTTTAGGGCTTGCATTTTTATGGGCTGAAATTCAGCATGGTTGAATATTTAAGCTGTGAAAATTTCAATTCAAAACATTTAAAACACATTTTCATAATTAAAAATTCAATAATCCATATTCACCTTTCATATTTAATTTCCAAAATATTCAAACTGTTTAAAAATACAACCTATAATATTCAACAGGCAATTTTCGGTCCATTTTATTTCGCTTTGCAAATTTGCTTCCACAAATTCAGTGGTTCAAATTCTACAGTAAACGTTCAACGTTGACATCCAGGAACTGCAGGAAAAGCAGTCGATTACCGAGCATAATCTCCATCTGCTGTTAGTCGATCTGATCAGCAGGAGGTGCAAGCGTGTGTTGTTGACGAAGACCAGAGCAACAGTTAGAGCAAGACATTCATTCATAAAAACCAAAAACCATACTTTTACATATTATTCCGTTATTGAAAAACTGTTGCATTAATTAGTTTGAACAAAACTTAAAAACATTAAGAAAACGTGTCTAAAAATATATTTATAAATTTTAGCAATCCTCATTTGCTACTTAAATCTACACAAATTTAAAAACACCAAATATTAGATCAAATTGGCACAGAATCAACTTTGCGCTGCTGCCCGCGATCGCACCAAGGATCAGCCATATTTCCATGTGCATCTTGAAAAGCGGATGTTTTGGAATTGTTATGCCATCTAGTGGTTTAGAGGAAAATAAAATCAAAGGCGCCTTTTACATCTGTGTGCCTTTAGCCCCATTGTACCCTATAGCCCGGTTTTACAGACAAGGCTTAAGACTAAGCCAGGATTAGGGCTTAGTTTAATTAGGGCATTTAAGTAGCTTTTTTAAACATGCCTTTGAAAAAACATTACTGGTTTGTGGTTTGCATCTTGACGCAAAACAATGAACCTGACATATTTTCAGCTCAAATATGCATTTTAGTCAGAGACTAGGATAAGCCTGGTCTGTGAAACCAGGGGTCAATGTCCAAAGTTGCTATTATTTTTTTTTTTACATTTTTAAATTAACTGTGCTCAAGTGGACGAATTAACTTGAATGAAGTTTTGCTTAGTTTCCTGAACGAGATTCAACAATCCTAGTAAAATGATCCAGTCTTCCCAGCACTAAGGGCTGCTTTTATGTCCCCATCACCCACTTGCCCAAGCCCTTCTTCACTCCCTTGCATTCACTCCATGAGACACATTTTACTGCAAGAACACAGTGTTCCACTTTTATTTTGGACACTATCCCCTCAAAGATTTTATTAGCTTTTTTTGGCTTGATGTTTATATTATGGTAAATAAACGCCTCTCTGATGCCTAACGCAACAAGCCAAGGAGGAAAGATAACTGACATAAACAAACAGTGAGGGAGAGAGAGAGTGAAGCTATTATGCATTTCAGCTTGACCCAACACAAATATCAACACTCACGGAAATAAAGCAGCAGTTTCTGTGAAAGGTGCAGAAAACAAAAGAAACTTGCATTCAAAACTTTGTTGTGTGGCAGACTTATAAAAACAATCCACACAACTCCTGTGTATCAGTTGAACCGCAATTCTAAGACAATTCTAGGGGCCTTGTTCAGAAAGGGGACCCCGCTATTTTATTGGGTAACAGAGCTCAACAGTTGCAGAAGTAAAAAAAGAGACATTTTTAGCTATAATGTAAACCTTTCAAGACATTTAGTGGTGTCCGAAAACATCTAGTGCACTCATTCAATCCCAGAATGCACTGCAAGAAGAAGTGTACAACCCATGTACATCTACTATAGGGAATAGGGGACTTTGGACACAGCTCTGGAGACAAAAGGAAACCAAAGACAGAATCATTAAAATCATTATGCATCATTGCAGTGTTTTTCTGTTTATCCCTGTAAAGCTGCTTTGAAACAATATGTATTGAATAAAGCGCTATATAAGTAAAGGTGACTTGACTTGAGTTGAAACACAGGAAATACACTCTTCTGTGGTTCATGTCAGAGTGAATGTGTCAAGAATAAACAAGGCTGAACTGGTGAACAGTCCGTGACAGTTTGATCCGCAGAAGCAGAAGCCAGGAGGAACAGCAGTACCGTTATCAGCCTCATGGTGGTGACCTCCGCCAAGTGAAGGGTTGCATCGTTTCCAGTTGTGGATAGGAAATAGGGCTGTATGGTGGACTAGGACCCAGCAAATACTCAGGCCACGTGGCTTACAACAGCACAAGGTTACGTCTAAAACTCAAAAACTCTTAAACTTGACAGTTATGATATGGAAGATTCTTCTTGATCTCAAACTTGCATCATTTTCAAAGGTATTTCCTTCTAAATGGACAGTGTATAGAGATTAATAATTTGAACCACACAATATTTATTTGATTTACTGAGATTATAGGGATTAAAAGTTTGCTCTTAAATTGAGATTGAGCTGTTAGATCCCATGTTGATTTGAAGTGTTTTACATTTAAAAAAGGGGTAGAAATATGGCATCTGGATCAGCCTTTTGATGATTGGAGAAATTTTGTTCCTCTGTTTTACCAGGGCAAAGTTTCTCCAGTGTAGTCCATGAATCCGCCGTGCTGCTTCTCAGTAAGGCTGCCAATGACACGCAGCATTCCCTCCACACTTTCTCTTGTGTCGATAGATGCCTGGTGGACAAACAGGGAATGACATGCAATTAAAATAGTGTAATCTTGCCAAACAGAGACTATGTGTGCATTGAAGCATCAGGCTGATATAATTTTTCATCACGAGAACTGATTATAAACTAAAATTCAACCTGGCACATTTCAAATGTCTTGCATAAAACGGTGAAAGAATCAATAATACCTGACTTCTGGGGATTGATTAAGTCAGAGGAACAGACAAAAAAAAAAAAAAAAAAGGGAAAAAGTATAGTTGTAAGAGCTTTATTACTGAATCTAGATTTACCTTATCTCCCCCCATGTTTGTCCTCACCCATCCTGGGTGAATGGAAATGCAGAGGATCTCATCTGCCTTTAACTCCATTGCAGTATACACAGTCAACATGTTTAGACTTGCCTGAAAGGAAAACAGATGCAGGAAGAGATTTTCTTCACACTGAACCTAATTCTAATTAGTTTTTCAGTTTCAGATATAAGCCAAAACAATCAGATTTTTTCTGCCCCCCTGAAAAAAGTATTCTTGTGTACCTTGCTGATACTGTATGGGAAGAACGGGAACGGCCCTTGCAGTGATGGAACGATGCTCATAGATGCTGCATTTGTGGAGATGTTGATCACAGCTGCTTTATCACATGACATCCCTGGTTTGCCACTGGCTTTAGCTGCTGCACGCAGATACGGCAGGTACTCCTGATTTAAGACATTCACAACCAAGTGTTTTAGATATTGCAAGAAATCAAGTCTTGTCTTAGATTAGTCTTGTTCCCAAAAACCTTTCTATTACCCTAATGACAAATAAAGGTCCTAGCATGTTGGTGTTGAAGGCGTGGATCATGTCCTCAACAGTGGCGGTCAGTATGGATTTTGAAGGCAACACTGCAGCATTATTTATGATCAGGTTCAAACCATTCTTGCCCAGTAGAGAACCCACTTTCTTGGCAGATTCTTTGATACTGCATGGATCAGCTACATCTAGAAGCAATCATTGCAGAAAGATTGAATTCGTAAAGTTAGATGTTATTTAAAATCTCAAAAAACTACTTCCATTTTAAAACATAAATGCACATGTACCAAGGTGCTCGAGGGTGACAACACCTGGATGCTTTTTGGCCAGTTCTTTCAGTGCCTGAATCTGAAAGAGAATATTGATAAATACACATTTCTTTAGCTGTCTTCAGTCCTAAGCTCTTGAATACTCACCTCAGAATTTGTCCCATCTGGGTCAAGACACCCAGCAACAACTTTTGAGCAACGGGCCTCCAGGAGTTGCTTGACCATTTCTAAGCCTCGGTTGGCCCCGGTCACAAGAGCGCTACACGCCTTTAATGCAGCCATGTTCAAAGATGATCAGTCTGGTTCTTCCAATCTCTCAACCTGCCTCTCTATAGAGGCGTTTATATGGAGCAGAGTTGACTCCACACCCCATAACACACACACGGTGGCAGGATTATATGAGGAATATAACTACTTGGATGCTTCCCAAAAAGCTGTAATATTTTATATCAAATCAGATATGCTGTGTCAGGAGTGAGATTAGAGGTTAAAGATCCACATCGCTTGTACTGCAGCTGGAATGAATCAAAGTCCTTTGTAAGACAAGTCAGCCCACTCTGCGCCTGTCTTAACGCCCCCTGAGGAGCTATTATTTTATAGGCAATACGCATGCAAGTATGTCCTATCTACTTCATTGGGGCAAAACCAAAATCACCAAAATGGTAGGCTAAGATGAAAGGATCACAAATGACCCCAGGATCGTCAGAGAAAAAGATTGAAGAACTTTATTGTGTGTGGTTTTGGAGTGTATTTAATTAACTAATATAACTTCTTTAATATAATATCTACATCATCTACATGTGATCTATAATATACATGTTATTATGCATAATTTATCATATATTTATTTATTTTTTCAGAAGGGAATAACTAATCATAAACAAACATCCAGCATTATTCCCCCAATCAACTAGCCTGGCAAGCCAGACCTACATCAAGATGTTAGGTCTGGGAACTCACAATTGGCACACCTCAATCCGAGGGGCGGGATAAACGGTTGTCTTTCAATATCCCTCGGCACGCAATAGGATAGCGCTACAACCAACCAGAGCAACGAATGGCTGTGGCTGAGTGAGTCCCATGCGTTTTTCCACCAGTGAACCAGCTAGTTGGTATATTAAACTTTTGCCATATCCGGTCGTCAAAACTCTGAACACATCTTCCTTTTTTAGGAATGACTTAAGTGACGTTCTCTTAACTCCAAGTCATCCAGAGTCGCGGGCAAAGCCGATTCGAAAGACCGCTGTTCGCCAGCAGCATCTTCTTTGTTTTCAAGCAGAGGGAAATCACCTATGGAAATCACGCGGAAATCGTCACAACTCTACCGTCATTATGTTCAGCCTGCCCACCAACTCTATACACGATCTGATTGGCCTGACCAGTTTTTGGTTTTTCCAGCTAAAAAGTCTATGGAGAGTTGCTAGACCACACTTTTCTGCAAAACAATTTTTGCTGCTGCTAGGGTGCGTCTAGATTTCTAGGCTACCAATCAACTCCAATCTCCCTCAAACAGCTTCATACAACCAAGCTCTTAGCAACATCCAATGTTAACGTTAACAAACAAAACATAAACAAATTACATAAATTAAAGCAGTAATTAAAGCATAAATTAAACACACACACACACACACCTCCACAAAAAAAGAGATCAGCCAACGCATTAGCCAAGAAAGGATGCCATAGTTTTTGTTTAAATAACCTGAATGATTATCTATCTTTTCCAGTTTAATGGAAGTGAACACTTCTTTGACCCATATATTAAAGGAAAGGGGTGAGACATGTTTACGTTTCAAAAGAATGAGATGTCTTGCTAGTAAGGTGGTGAAGGCTAGAGCCTTTTGCACTGGCAATGAAAAGGTCAGCACCAAGTGGCTGAAAGTTGATTTGGGTCGAGACTTCTCCCAAAGGCATCCTGCAAAGTTTTAAATATTTTAGTCCCATAATCAAATAATTTCAGACATTCCCACAACATATGAATGAGATCCGCCGGTGAATGTTTGTACCGATTACATGCATCGCTGAACGAGGGGTACATTTTAGCAAGTTTGACATTAGTATAATAAATCCTATGAAAAATCTTGCATTGTATCAGAACATGTCTTGCACATATTGATGATGTATGAACAAGTTCAAGAATGCGTTCTCATTATTCATTAGACAAGTCAATCACTGTAAGGTCATGGAGAACACAACCCAACTTGGGGGGAGAGGTTATTGACTCACATCTAAAAATTTCCACCAAAAGCTCAGAGAAGGTATATGGATGAGTAACTTCGCTCATCTCGGTTAGCCGAAGATATGTTATTCCAGCGGCTCTGTCCCTCTAGACTAAAGTTGCATACTTCGACCTAGGTCCCTAGCCCTTCCTCCTCCGCTGGTCTGTCCAGCCCTATGAACTCCCTGGTTTCGCCCAGGCCATTAGCCCTTCCTCCTCCACTGGTCCTGTCCAGCCCAGAAAACTTCCTGCCTTTCAACTTAGAAATTTTGGCCCCCCCGGCTCCACCTTGCCCCTCTGAACAAATTAGTCCTCCTGAGCCCTTCGACCTTAGGATGACTCGAGCAGTGCTAAAAGTGTTTGAAAAAAGGGTATGAAAGGCTTGGGGGCTCAGTAGTCCATTAGAACAGTGGTTCACAACCTCTGTCCCTGAGTACCCCCAGCACTGCACTGTTTAGATGTCTCCAAAATCAAACACACCTCACAACTCATCAGCTCAATAGTAAAGACTCCAAGACCTCAGATGGGTCTGTAAAATAAGTGAGACATCAAAAATGTGCAGTGTTGTTGGTTCTCCAGGTCTAGGGTTGGGAAACACTGTGCTAGAAGTTAGAAACTGATTAATCTAAGAAAGAGTTGCAGCTCTTTCACAGAGATGGGTTGTGGCTATGTTTGGACTGCTTGGATCAAACATATCCAAGTTAAGTTGGAATAGTTTCCAAGTTTTCGAACCATCTGGACAGAGGGCCGGTGGAACATGCATATGTCTGTGTGGCAAGCACGTCACCGGCCTCGCGTCGTTCTCTCACGGCCCTCTGCCTCGTCCTATTCGACACAGTCTGCCTTGAGTAACAGCTAGTGCTCACAGAATTTTCCAGTACCAGCTTATTTATCAGCTAGTTTAACCGGTTACTTCTGTAAGACTGGGAAAACTGGAAGAACTGGTTGAGGAACGACCACTCTGGAAATTACCATTTGAACTCACCATTTGAGACAAAAAGTCTCACATAACCTACATTTCTTTCCCTCATCCCCCACTCGTTCTCCCCCATGCAAAGATCACCAAAAACTCACCCAAGAATCTAAATGGTTTAATGTGAATGATTATCATCGAGTTTTTTACATGTTTGGTATCATTTGAAATGTCTCAGTGCGACTGGTACAAATGTCTCATTTCCAAATAAGTAAAACAAAAGGTAAATATAGCTGCGAGCAGCGATTACGGGCCCAAGCCGGTGGCACCGCAACCCCGGTGCCTTTAGGGTTATTGTGCACGACGTGCAAAAACTGCTTTTACTGTCGAAAAGAAGTGTGCTGTAGAGCTTGCATCAGTGTGGGCTCTGCAAAAGTGCGCATCGAGGGCACATATCAACCACAATGTGTGCATGAGCAACCTTCTGAAACCTAAAATGAAAAATGAGACACCCTACAGACGGTCTCATGGATTTAACGGACACATGAAATAAGCACACAAGACTGAAAATCTGCCGAACGGCTCTGGTAGTTCCGCTTCAGCACTGATGATGTTGTAGGAATAGTGCACTCTGGTTGGTCTGGATTATTCGAGATTTTTTATTTTATACAGAAATAAGTTATTTATAATTCAGATGAGAATAAAGTTAGTGTTGATTAAAATGAAGGAAAACATTGATTGTATTGATCTCAAATATAGCACATTAATTTTAAATTCATTTAGGTTCATTTACCAAACACAATCTTAATTTAATTTAAAGCAAACAATACACTTAAAAGATATGGGTTGTATGAATATTTTGGAGAGAAAATATATATATCGGTATATACACACACACACAGTTTAAAAGCAAAAGATCTCTCTCTCTATCTCTCACTCTCTCTCTCTCTCACACACACACACACAGTTCGATCGCACCCGCGCCTCTGTCTCTCTCTCTCTCTCTCTCACACACACACAGTTCGATCTCTCTCTCTCACACACACACACACACAGTTCGATCTCTCTCTCTCACACACACACACACAGTTCGATCTCTCTCTCTCACACACACAGTTCGATCTCTCTCTCTCACACACACACAGTTCGATCTCTCTCTCTCACACACACACAGTTCGATCTCTCTCTCTCACACACACACAGTTCGATCTCTCTCTCTCACACACACACAGTTCGATCTCTCTCTCTCACACACACACAGTTCGATCTCTCTCTCTCACACACACACAGTTCGATCTCTCTCTCACACACACACAGTTCGATCTCTCTCTCACACACACACAGTTCGATCTCTCTCTCTCACAAACACACACACAGTTCGATCGCGCCCGCGCCTCTGTCTCTCTCTCTCTCTCTCACACACACACAGTTCGATCTCTCTCTCTCTCACACACACACACACAGTTCGATCTCTCTCTCTCACACACACACAGTTCGATCTCTCTCTCTCACACACACACAGTTCGATCTCTCTCTCTCACACACACAGTTCGATCTCTCTCTCTCACACACACACAGTTCGATCTCTCTCTCTCACACACACACAGTTCGATCTCTCTCTCTCACACACACACAGTTCGATCTCTCTCTCTCACACACACAGTTCGATCTCTCTCTCTCACACACACAGTTCGATCTCTCTCTCACACACACACAGTTCGATCTCTCTCTCTCACACACACACACACACAGTTCGATCTCTCTCTCTCACACACACACACACACAGTTCGATCTCTCTCTCTCACACACACACAGTTCGATCTCTCTCTCTCACACACACACACACACAGTTCGATCTCTCTCTCTCTCTCTCTCTCTCTCTCTCTCTCTCTCTCTCTCTCTCTCTCTCTCTCTCTCTCTCTCTCTCTCTCTCTCTCTCTCTCTCTCTCTCTCTCTCTCTCTCTCTCTCTCTCTCTCTCTCTCTCTCTCTCTCTCTCTCTCTCTCTCTCTCTCTCTCTCTCTCTCTCTCTCTCTGTTCGATCGCGCCCGTGCCAACAAGTTCGATCGCGCCCGTGCCAACAACTCTTCTCCTCTTTATTTTAACCTCTGTCGAGTAGGTACCATTTTCTCATGACGTGCAGATTCTCCAACTGTCCGCTCTACTTCCATTATGGATAGAC